TAATTTATAAATACATACATACATATATATATATACATATATGTATATATATATATATTATTATTATAAACAATTATTGTAGTTTATATAACGATAAAAAACGAATTCTTAAACAATAACAAAATATACCACATGATACTAAAATCACATAAATGCTCGATATCCAAGAGAAGGATTTTTTGCCCGTCTTTCAACAATACGGTTACTTTGAATCAGAAAACATAAATGTTTTCGTTAAGTCATTATGCATTCTCATCATTTGCTCTAAAAATATTTCATCTTTCGAATATTACGATGCAGTAACTATTAAAAAGAAAATTTTAGATAAATTATGCGGTATGAAAGATCAGTTCTGTTTTTACGGGCAACAGTAAGTATAAACTCGTTTTCACTTGTTTCTATAACATTAACATTACTGTACAAAATTTAAAATCTCAATAAACTCTCGTTATTATACCCGCTGATACAACGAAGGTCACTTTGAAAAGTTTTTTCTATACTTTTGTCTCTAATAATTTAATTGCCATTTCTTCTAAAATTTGCGTTAATAAGTTTAAGATATGACTTACGATCTGAAATACTTGTTTTTTTTAACACAATTATATATTTTTTAACATGAATATATTCTTAATAATTAAAAATGGTATTTTAGGTTAATATCAACAAGTATGATTTATGAATTCACATATGGCAATTAATAAAGCGACACATGCATCATTGCAGGCAAACGGTTCCGTACATAAACTTGCAGACTTGATACAGTATATATTTAGTAGGAAGTTTGGTTCGACAGTTCTGTACTAATTGCTGATTGCATCTCGATTACACGTTTTTCACATGTGAATCGTTGCTGCTGTATAGCGTGCTTCTCCTCTTCGCCAACTCCACTGACTTGGTCGATACTGAAAACAATACACAACAATTTCATTGAAATGACTCACCACTTCCTTTTTTTTTGCAACACGCAAATGCAACCGATTCTCACCCTAATTAACATTTGCCCGGACGCACTATGAGGATTGCGATAAGCATATGCAGCCCAAGCTGCTAAAGCTACGACTAAAGCAATTACAAAAAGAATTCCGATAATTCCTGACACTCCTATGTTCATATTGTCCCGTGCTAAAAAAAATTAAAAATAAAATATTTATTCGTCAACGTTAGATTATAGTAATAGTATAATTAGACATTGAAATCTTACAACGCTCAAAAGGACTCGTTCCAGAATGCTTTGCATTCATTTCACTAACGGTAACAGTTTCTTCTGAATGCATATGTAAAACGTGATTATATTCATCGATATGTTCCTTACGTGTTGTAGTTGGTAACGGACAATTGTCAACTTCTTTTATCATCCGTACATCACAACCTTTCAATAGCCAATCCTGTCGTGACCTAAACGTTCCAGTACTGCATTGATTTAATTCTGAACACCACTTGCAATCAAAATCTTTTAGTTTTGTCAAACAATCCCTGCAATTATCCATTTCTAAACAAGTGGGTAATGCATTTAGATAAATCACTGTCCAATTTCTGATATCCTGTCGATTAAAGTTTACACGATGGTACTCGTAGATTGTTTTTTTGCGAACGACTATGAGGAAAGAAAAGAACATATGATTTGATTACTGTTAATCGCAATGATATATTGATTATAATTCGAAATGAAATAATACCAATTACTCACAGAAAACTATCCTGTCCATGATATATGCATCGCTAAGACCAACTTTAACAGGATGCGCCCTGTCTTCAATGAGTTCGACTGTCAGTGGAATGACCGAGTATACGAATACAATATCACCATTCTGATGCAGTGTTACCTGGAAAGTGAATGCACCGGCATCTGGTTTGTCTTGCAATACCACCTTCTCCCACACGACCGTAAATGCCGTTCCTACAATTAACGTTCTCATCTATTTATAATTTGTTTATTTGCGATCGAACAATTCCTCTCTCATTATTATTTTCTAACTACTCACCGTTGTCGACATATTTCACGTAACTGTCATTAGATAAACGAGTATCGAAATTCGCCATTAATGGTGCTATATATTGTGTGGCAGCTAGCCAGCTGTGAACGTACTCGCCAGTATATAAAAATCCACCGGTGGCAATGGTGATGTTGCGAACTTTGTGACCGTAGAAAGGGAAATCGAATTTCAATTTGACTGTCTGTTATAAGAGAACAAAAAAAAAAAGAAAAAAGGAGGAGGGAAAGAAAGCATTAATTGTATTTTAATGCATTATATGTATAAAATGGTAAACATGTCATACACTCACCGCAGCTCGACGGTGGCTTTGACTGAGTAAGTAATTGACTTTCAAATCCGGATGATTGTCTATATCTACCCAGTACTTTTTCCCCACGGTTTCATCGATGATAAATGTGCTGTTGTAATATTGATGCGTGTCGTTCTCCGTTTTCATAATATTATGCTGGGTCAGAGTTTTGTTCGTTAAATCCGAAAATTTGCTAATGGATATGTCTCCAATATTGCCATCGGTATCGTCCTTGTTATCCGTAGATTCCATTTCGGTTTCTGTTTCTTTCGTCAGGTTTTTATTAGTCTCGGTTGATGTATTTGTGGCATTAGAATTACCTCGTTCTATAAGTGGAACCTATACAAATCAAACAAAATTAATCGTTAATTATATATTATTTCCTCGATAATTATTTTCATATTTCAAGCCTTCCGTGATAGTTCCAGAGTCGTTTAAGTATATATTTGAATATAGTACTATATTAAAATTTATAGCGATAATTCTGTGCTCGCGTAAACTCAAAGAGCCCTGAAAGGACGAAGACTCAACGCGTGACGAGACATCAGTAGTTCTTAAGAGACACTCGAGCAGTTAAGCAAAGACCACAGTGCGAAATAAACCTTTTTCGAGACAAGACGCTTTTGAGTTTTCGACCCATGATTCCTTTGTTCCTTACCACAGCCCTCATTAGAAACTACCCTAAAATCTTACCGATTCCTTGTTAGTAGGATTTTTTCGAATAAGTTTCATCGACTGTTTTGTCGAAGTCTCCTGTTCACCGACTGTAGCTGAAGTCATCGCAGGTTCTTGTTCGGCCGTCGAAAACGTGGACAAGGATGGGGGTGATGTAGAAACCGAGGATTCTGTCATGTAATCCGTAAAATAGGAAACATTTATTTGCACTTTCGACGAATTTGCAACCTTTAACAGTTGTTGTTGTGGTTGCGACTGTGACTGTGATTGTGACTGCTGCGACGCGACCTGTTGCCGTGGTTGTTGTTGCTCATGTGGAGTTTGTTCGGTCGAGAGGGTTGCTTTCTCGTCGACTTTACCGACGTCCCGACGATGTCTTTCAAACGCTTCTTCATCATTAGCTGTATCTTCATCTGACAAGTAAGAGATTTCATCAACTGGTCCATGTTCGAGCGACGACTGTCCTTCCGCGTGCTCTTCCTCATAATGGTATCGATCTGAAAGTATCGAACAAGACACTTATTTAGTTTTAGTTAGTATTTACTAAGTCATGGAAGATTTTCAAAGATCATCCTATTTAGAACTCTTATCCCGTAATTTTTAAGCGACAAACCAGAAAGACTAAAATTAAAATAAAATTCGAATTATCAATCAAGGTTTTCAAAATTAAGCAGTGTCTATGCTTTTATATTTCAGCAATAAATAAGCACCATAGCTAGAATTATTAGGATTCCAAAGACACATTAACAGTATACCAATAGGTCATATTATACCGTGAATATCTACAAAGTAAAATGGAATTAATCGTAAAGTACGAGTTTTTGTGTTCGATGCTCGACTCAATTGCGAATAGGATGCGTGCGAACAAGCATTCGTCACGGATTTTCATTGCAACGATAATGCGACTAAGCTTGGACAAATGATGATTCAAATCAATTTATAGATTGCATACTCGACAACTTGTTCATGAGGAGGGTCGTTCGGTTGTTTTACGCACTAGCCTACTATACATTAAACGTTCAACCTGTGGCCTAGATCGCTATAAATTTCAACCATCGATTCCTATGTTCTTCCTCTATTAAATGTCCCCTTCTGCTTCTGCTGAATAAGCGTTTCCCTCGTATCGATTACATCGTCACGTTTATTATAAACCTTTTTGAAATAAATAAAGATTAGAAATGTGAAAATTTACCATTTTCAAATAACATTAATAATGGTAATTACCAAATATTCATTACCACTTAGCGATTTCTTCGAAAATCACTATCACTTTGTATTATCGATTAAAGCAATCAAGGAAAATTGATATTTCTACGTAACTGTCGTTGTTTTATTTTTCCCTCGAAAATGGAAGCAACGGCTCGCACGTCGGAGAACAGGATGTCAGTCGATCGTGACGAACTAACGCCACCGGATAAAGTAATAATTGGCGAAACGACATATAGCCGAGAATGTACGAAGTTTGACGTCAGTATAAATTTTCATGCTCTGAAAGCTGGCTCGATTAAACGTTCAACTCTCAATCGTTGCCTGTCTCCCTACAGACTTTAAAAAGACGTCAATTTATTCGAGCGTCGTTAGTCGTTATTCGTCCGCATATTACGGGGTACACGTTTCAACGAAAATACATATGTCTGCCGTATACAGCGATTCTTCTTTGGAACGAGAACAGGTCTTTCAAACCGCGCGGGTAGATTTCGAGGTATTCAGAAGTTCGACACAACACGCGAGGCATCGGGACCTTGAATCGATCGATCGATCGAACAGAAATTTCGAATTCTAATGACGTCACTGTCTACACGAGAATCGCGGCGTTTCATCACTAGACAGCGCGTATAAGTTTGCGAAGTTTTAAGCAAATGAATGTTTAGATTATATATTAGTCAAAATCGACTCGTAAAGTCTTCGAAATCTTACAAGAGACTTAATCTTCTAATATTTAGGTTGATTTAATTAAGAAGAGGAAGAGAACTTGTATGGTTAACTGAACTCTCGAAACTTTCGAAATATCTAAGGATTTTCGTGTTCTCGAAATGTCTATAACCTTTTGTATAATGGTAACGAAATAAACGAATACGAAATAAACTCGTTTCTGCGAGTAGGAAATAACGTGCTCACGCGAGAATGTTTCGAGAATCGCAGAAGATCGATCGAACTTTTAAAAAGCGGCAACGTCGTATTGGTTGTACTTCCAATATATGTACATCGATCCATCGAATATCCTTGACTGGAATCGATAAATCGTCGTTGTCGCGAGGAAATATCTCGACTGGACTGCGTAATTTCCATTCACGCCGCGCGATTGTGCTGCTGTGTACGGTGTTCCACGAGACGAGTCGATCCAAGGCGAGAAGCCAGGGTCGCGTTTACTCTAGTTCGCGAACGCCGTTTTACGAGCTTACATTATTTCTTTGTAATAAACAATTCCCGTGCATTTGTTAATTACTTTTTCATCTACGTGACCCGGAACATTTGGTAGCTTTTATGCAGATACATTGTCGGTTGTTACTCAGTTATAAACAAGCATGTTTACAACACGCGTAACATTATCGTTAAGAAATTTTGTAAATGGCTATCGTTCAAATATGTCGCTCCTGTTGCAGAGAGAAGATACACGTATGAATTCGACCACTGACGTGAAATGAATTCAGAGTTAATGACACAAACGCACATCAACATTTGTCTCAAGAATGAAAATAAGTATACATGTAAAATTTGGAAGCACCATCTATCGGAGCATGTGTCACATGTTTTCTAACAAAATTCAAACGCAGTCATAATCAAAATGGCGCAAGTGATTATCGATAGTAATTATTGATTATTGATATATTAACTTTAATTTATTGTTTTTACAGGTAATTACTTTTGATCTCATCTTAACAATTATCGAAGTAATTTCAGTGATTTTTCGAATTGATTTTTCGATATAAAAAAGAATGTAAAATATATCCTGTAGGATGCATGTATATATTTTCGCATTGCGATGTAAACGTTTCAAAGTATCGAGAAAGTAATCGTAAAGCAACGATCGTTACAGCTACGAACCGCGTATCTATTACACGTTAACCTTTGTTCTTCACGGAACGATGAGTATCGATCGTGGACGGGGAAGGTCAACGACACAAAATGGAATCGTTAATATGGTCTCGTGAACGGCTTAAAATCACCCTGAATTAGGCGCAACCACTGCCGGTTTTTATACCGAAGTAAGTACAGAAAATTGATCGTTGACCGGCAAACATGTATATTTTTAAATAAAAGGGAGTATAAAAGGGAGCCAAATTTTTTCACGAAAATTAACCAACGGATAAGATCTTCGTTAATAGCCAATTACATCGACAAGACAGTAAATTATAATTTTTATTTAATTTCTATACTTTTTGTCTGAGCTTTGTCCCGATAATCGATTTTTAAATCAAAAAGTATATTTTTATTTTACCTTTGACAGATGAAAAATGTTATATTTTTGTATGAATAGGAAAAAAGGAAGAAAAAAGTACGGGCTGAACACAAAAATGTCAAGAAAAGAATACAGCACGAAGAAACAAATTCCAAACGATACCATTGAATGGTTTTGCCTATGTTATCGGATTAAGCATGGTGAGACACATGGTATCAGCAATCTAAACGTATATTTGATATTAACGAAAGACGGTTCTTCGTCAAAACGGCGCGCTACACTTCATACGATTTTCAGGTTTTATCATCTTCATTGGATGGTCTGTCTGTCTTGTAAATTTACATCGTAAGTAGCTGTGTTGGAGAACATGCGGCGCCGATGTTCTGGACGGCCTCTCGGTATCTACAGAACAGACCACAGCGATGCAGCGTTCGTTGGATAACTTATTCTTTTAACTTAGGTCAAAAACATATTCTTGCTCTTTGCTCTATGTTTCAATATTCCTATTTTATTATTTTATCTGCTTTTATATTTTTAAGCATCTTCTCTTATCTTGTATTTTCATCTACAATCCACTATCTTCTTTATCCACTTTCTTTTCTCTCCTTTCTTTCCATTTTGTATTTCTTTCAAATTCCTCGTAAACGTTATCACCACGAATATATTTTTGAGAGAGAAAGATATTTTTCAACGATTTATGGATTTGGGAAGAAAATAATCTGATGACAAGTTGCGTCGAGGAGAGGCTCCAGACGTTTTGGTATGAAATTTCTCGTTTCTTTAATAGAATGCAATGAGTGGCCCTTCTCGCAAGATTTCCCACATACGCGACACACCCACGCGGTCTACAGCATAAACTTCTCCGTTTTGTAGCTACTCCGCCATCGCCGTTATCCGGTGACACAATATCTTTGATTGTCAACCGGAAACCACAATGTCAATGTTATGTACGCTGTATTATATCATAAACAGTGATATTTTTAATTTGAACGTTAACGATTAAACGTCACGGCTTTTCTGAAATAGTCGAGGTAACCTATTGCGAAGGTGAATATATTATCGAATTATTGCAAATTCGAAATTAATATAGGGAAATGGTTGCTAAACTTTCAGTGTCACGGGAAATTTAACCGCGTTTGTGAAACATTACATCCGCCTTCGATGTTCGATCGTCGTGACATTAATTTCCTTTGATTCGCCTTTAATCGCAAGTTAACCACCCCGCGATTACACGAAATGTCGGTAAATTAACCTCGATCTTCTTTAAAAGAATTTCGTCAATGGTGCCAAGAAACGAAGATTAATTACTCGTAATTTGGTCCCTGTAACGGTAACGCTTTCGTCACGCATGTACGCAAAGATGAAGTTTCAAGCGCAGGATAGGGACAGAAAATAAATAACAAAAACTGTTGTATGCGCGAGGATGGAATAAAGATAAATGAAAAAGTTTGCAGTCAAGGATGCGCTTAATACGCTCATAGATTAATTTTCATTGGCCGTCAGACGTCGAACAAAGATGACGCTATCACGCAACCTGCCTCAAAGCTTGTTATTATTCCTTAATTATCACTAATTATCGCGGTGACGTTCTACTTTATTGAAAGCAAAGTGTATGCCTCTGTACGCAGTTGCATTATTTTTGGCGCTCCCTCGTTTAGCGAGCAATCATTTAATTGCTGTGTCTTCCAATTAAAAAATTGCTAAACGAATTACGTTTGGAATTCTTACGCAACAGCCTCAAACATATGCTATAACCCCTGCTGAATACTCTGTTTCGCGGAATCAAACGGAGTTGTGATCTATAATAATGCGACTCTCCTTAATAACTATCAAACGCTGGCTAATTACATTCTTCTTCAATTTCTCTCTTTAAATTCTTTTAAATTCCAGAGCTGCACACGAAGCACGCAACTTCTTGCGGTGCTATCTCGCAGCTGATAAAACATTTTATCCGATATCTAACCAACTTTTCTCTTTGTAGGTTTTCCTCCATGAAACTGCAACTTATCATGCAACCACATTTGTTTGCACGGCTAGTTTATCGGACGACGCCTTCCCTTCAGAAGTTGCCTGCTTCCCTGGCGAGGTTGTTCACTG